TAACCCCCGCCCCCCCCCCCCCCAAGACACTAAGTCAAAAACCTTAAGCTAAACGGCTTACCTACTTTTGAAGGGAGGCATGTGAAGGGAGAAACCTTGAGTAGTATCTGAAAATTTTCCCCTCCCCTTAATATACAATAAGACGTGTGGGGACCCTTCGATGGAGAAGATAAATTCTAACAGGTTTTGGGAGAAAGCCTAAACATCAGTGGAGACATGGTGATTGCTAGAGTGATTAGGTAAGTGGTTCAACTAATTTTTAAAGAGAAAAAGGATGGACATAAATGCTGTCTCTAGGGAAGAAACAAAACAATTGCTTTTTTTGCAAAAACTTTTGGGGAGGATCAACACTTAGTTGAGTAGTTTGGAGGGGTATATGTCAAATGATGAGGGTTTATGCTTTTAAAGATACGATTCTGATCTCTCTGATTCTAATTGAGGCTAAACGTGCATGTTTGTATTTTTATGAAAATAGAACTGGAAGCCACCATGGGAGATGAAGATTGGGAAGCAGAAATAATCAAACCTCGTATGTCTTCCTATGTTCCTGTACTTGAGAAGGTAATAAAATTTAAAGTTTGCAGTTATTAAATGCTGCAGATTTTATTGAAGTTGAAAATCACTGTGGTGAGGAAGTTCTAATTTACAGTTTGCTGTGCTTATCTCCGTGTGATTGTTATTAACTGTCTCATGGGGAATGATGAAGAGGCACGCTAAGCCTCAAATAGAATAAAATAGTCTGAGGTAATTTGATAATTAAAAACTAAAATGTATATAATAATATTAACAATTTAATTTAAATCTCAGTGATTTAGGACGTGTGGGTGAAAGCAAGCTTATGCTAATGTGGTTGAATGTCTCTGAGATACAGTCATATAGAAAACAAAAAATATAATTTGATTTTGGTTGACGTTTTGAATTCTGAAAATTGGTTTCCTACAAGCAGGGCTCTCAAGATAAAAATATTAGGCTGATTCAGATGGTAACATCAGTTTGATCTTCAAATGTACAAATCAGCAGATCTTTTTTCTCAATGGTGTTTGAAGAGTTACATTGGAATTCAGAGGAAGGGGTTATGGAGTGGGTTTTGGATTTCAGTTTTGACTTGAAAATTGACTTAATAAGGTGAACAGACTCTACTTTAGAAGATAGTGTATTTTAACGGGTTGCTTTTACATAAATGTTACGTACGTGAAAATGTCTCCAAAAGTTGATTTTTTTCCTTTTAGAATTTCCAGTTGGTGTTTATGTTAGTCGATTCTGACACTTTCTATTTCAAGTGATGTCTTAGTGGAAATTCTTAATTTACCCCAAATCATAAGATAAGTAATTCTTTGTCTCAATTGGATTTGATCTGTATGTATATAAAGTTTATATTAAAATACCTAAGATGTTAATCTGAATTTATCGTGTTTCTTGTTTTGGGACTTATTTTAGAAGTAACATCTTTTGTATGTTATCTTTTTATAGTCTTCCCGTCATAAAAATATTGGAACACCGTTGGGAAAAGAGGAGAAAAATCACCTAACAGTCTTGCTTACTAGCACAAGTGCTCTGTTTTTAGTAAATTTTCTTCTATTTTTCCCAAACATGTTTTTATATAGATTGTAATGATAGTACATAATAATAATTTTTGATTTCAGCTTTTTCACTCTTCAGCATTAACGATTCCATATTATTAATTTCCTAAAAATAATTTCTAATGGTTATATAATATTTCATGGACTAGAGCTACCATAACATAAATAATTTTCTGTTGGTGCGAATTTAAGATGTTGTTATCTTTCCACTGTAATATTGTCACGAATATCTACAGTTTATTCTTTGTTTTAATTTGGGAGTATTTTTTTCAAAAATGGAATTACTTGGTCAAAGAATATTTTATGGTTCTTTCTTTCCCTGGTTCTCAACACATTTGTTCTAATACAAAGTTTAATTCACAGATACAGATGTTCTTCCACTCGGACTTGTCTAACTTTTGTTTTTTTATTACTCTGAGATTTTGTCTTCACTAAGTATTCTTCGAACAGTATACTTAATGCACTGTAGCATGTTGTGCATGGTTATTGCAAAGGGTGTCTGAAATTGAGGATGGTCAGCTGTCAGGCTTCCAGATTTACCTTTTGGAAATCTTTGTGCTATTCAGTAACATACTTTGTTTCTTGATATTGGTAATACTGAGTTGAATATTAATTTATGTTAACATTTCTACCTTATGATTCTTAGTACCTATTTGTGTGGGGCCAGTTTGTAGTAAACTTTGCACTTGTCTGCAAACTTAACACCTGGTACTGGTTGTGCAATTAGTTATTTGGCCTACTTGACTTGAAGGAACATGGTGCAATCAGTGGCTCTGTTTGCCTGCCTGAATAAGAAATGTAGAAACTAAGGATGAATACATGACATTTTTATGTAGGAAAAATCTGAGGTCTTTTCTTCAGCCTATTTTCTTTTTTTTTTTTTTTTTGCCGTACGCGGGCCTCTCACTGTTGTGGTCTCTCCCGTTGCGGAGCACAGGCTCCGGACGCGCAGGCTCCGCGGCCATGGCTCACGGACCATGTCCCCTGCCTGCATCGGCAGGTGGACTCTCAACCACTGCGCCACCAGGGAAGCCCCCAGCCTATTTTCTTTTAAAGGCACCATTTTGATTGGTTGTTCTAATTGAATTTCCATTTCAAGAGACAGCTGGGCTTCCCTTTTGTTCAATTTATATTGGCTCTGAGACCATCTTAGATTGGTAACAGTATCTGTGATCAGCCTTTTCTTTTTTTTATTAATTAAAAAAAATTGGAGTATAGTTGATTTACAATGTTGTGTTAGTTTCTGCTGTATAGCAAAGTGAGTCAGTTATACATATACACGTATATCCACTCTTTTTTAGATTCTATTCCCATATAGGTCATTACAGAGTATTGGGTAGAGTTCCCTATGCTATACACTAGATCCTTATTATGTGATCACCCTCTTCTGAATGCTTCTCAGGATCCTTACTTGGAGATTTAATATTGATACATGCTTATATAATTTTGAACTAACAGGCTACTATTCTGGTAGTTCTCAGAACTTCCCAATTATAGTTTTTGAAGTGAGTGTACCACCTGAAGATAGAATAATAAAAGATGTGGGGTTGAGAGAAATTTGATAATGTTACCAGTTACAGCAGTCCAGAAATCCCAGTGTTTAGGCATTTGCACGTTGCATGCAAACTTGTTGGGATGAGTGGTGGAATGGATGAGTATGATGACTGTAACAGGATACTGGGTTTGTTTGCTAGTTGTAATGTTTCTTGTTAGATGACCCTGGGAGTAAGTCTACACAGTGATCACTTCTGTCTGATCTTTTTGCCTTTTTTGTGGCATATTTCAGAAGGCAGATACTCTTGTGATTAAAGTGGAAACAGCTTGAGATAATTAGTCCATCCACAATTATTTTATTAAGCAGTAAAAGCAAAGTTTGTAATAATTGTTTAGATAAGAAAGTAAAGTTCATGGCTTCTTTGTTCATGTTCATACTGCAGTTCTGAAGTAGCAGGGGAAAATGTGGTTGGACATTGTTGGGTTGGCAGACCTAAGGAAGTTGATGTGCTGGAGCCTGAGGAAGATTTCCAGCAATTTCTGCTGCTAGTCATCAGTGAGATGTGGGAAGATACTGTGTCTCTTACTCAAGAGCACAGAAAATCATATATGTTGAATAGGAGCAAGTTGTGGGAGATACATAACATGTTCATCCAAATAAAAACCCAGGAGAGTGCTCTCACTCATCTCCCAAATCTAAATGACAGAGTCAAGGGCAGAGTGACAAAAAAGTATGAGAAGGCTGAGGAGAAGGCTAAAGAGATTGCAATGATGGTAGAAATGTTGGTCGAGTTAGTCCAGGGGATAGAGAAAAGTGAATCGTCTTGAAGGAGGATTGGCAGTTTATGACCAAAGGATTCCAATGAACTGATGGAGATTGGCTGATGCCCACGAGAACCTAAAACCAGAGTCTTTCGTTTTCTCCTTTTTTTCTCTGTATATACTCTGTCCTCACAGTAGGTTTGTGGTATAGTCTGCAGTTGATAACGTCGACGTGAGTTTTGATTGCTAAATGTTTTTGTTTGTGGAAATAACTTTTATTTGGAAAATGCTGTCACGTACAGAAATTAGGGCTTAGATTGTAAGCATTTGCAAAAGACACATTTGTTCCTGGGCTTTGGTTATTGTTTCTATTTTGAGGTGATTTGCTCTTTCTTATGTGACATGATAGGTCATCTGGAACCTTAGGTCTGTGTGTGATACATGACACTCAGAGTTGGAGTTCTCTAGCTCTGGAGGTGCTGAAGGAGCTGCATTAATTCTAGAAGATGACTCCATGCAGCAATTGCTGGAGAAACTGAAGAAGGGACCAGACTTCAGCTGGGAATGTGAATGGGGCTGATCTGGCTTGGACTGATGAATCAGAAGAAGGGATGGAGGATGGTATTGTCTGTATTTGGGGGCTTTAATTTCTGTTTTAGATCATAGGAGAGATGTATTTTGTTCAAAATTTAAATTTTACATGGCATGCTATCTGATGCAACCTATCCGGTCAGTTTATTTGGACAATGTAACTCAGCTTTATTTCATATGGAACCTAGAATAGGAGTTGAGATCTTGGTATTCTGTACAAGTTGATTTAGTACTCTGATGCATTTCAGGGTATTCTGGGCATAAAATGGAGGATATTTGCAAAGGTCCTTAAAGGGCTGGGGAAGAAACACATGGAACTGTCTGCATAGGTCACCGAATGGACAGGGAAGAGGCATCTTCAAGGTTCATAAGCTGTCCAGCTATAAGTTCGCTTGGGTAGCAGACCTGACAAGTAATTGAGATCAAAACCCTACCATGGGGGCTTCCCTGGTGGTGCAGTGGTTGAGAGCCCGCCTGCCGATGCAGGGGACACGGGTTCGTGCCCTGGTCCGGGAGGATCCCGCGTGCCGCGGAGAGGCTGGGCCCGTGAGCCATGGCTGCTGGGCCTGCGCGTCCGGAGCCTGTGCTCCGCAATGGGAGAGGCCACAGCAGTGGGAGGCCCGCATACCGCAAAAAAAAAAAACAAACCCTACCATGTTTTAAAAAAAACAACTTAACATGTTAATGGAAGTATTCATTTGTTTGGAAAGACAAAAGATCTAAAAAAAAAAAAGTAAGATATTCCAGAATTGAAAATAATAAGAGTACCTAAAAGGTAAAAAGAAATGTGTTCATCAAAATGCAAATAGATTATTTGTAGCTACCTGTGAGAGCCCTTATGTTTAAAACATTTTGAAATTTCTCAGTTGGTTCATTTGGATAGATAAAGAGGTTATAAATATAGCTAAGTGTTCTAAAAATAAGGTAATGTTAAGACCTAAGACTCATTCAGCACATTTTTATTATTATTATTTTTTGGCTGCATTGGGTCATTGTTGCTTTGCTGGCTTTCTCTAGTTGCAGTGAGCAGGGGCTACTCTTCATTGTGGTGCGGTGGCTTCTCTTGTTGTGAAGCACAGGCTCTGGGCGCACAGGCTTCAGTAGTTGTGGAGTGCAGGCTCAGTAGTGTGGCACACAGGCTTAGTTGCTCCGTGGCATGTGGGATCTTCCCGGACCAGGGATCGAACCCATGTCCCCTTCATTGGCAGGCAGATTCTTAACCAGTGCACTGCACTGCACAGCACATTTTTATTTCAGCCATACTTGGTGCTGGAGATAGTGGTGAATGTGATAGATAAGGGGCTCACTGTCATGGATATTCTGTTTTTCTGGGGAAGACAGAATAAGCACATTGAAAATCAAATATAGAGTGAAAAATATTATGAAAAAAATCAGGAAACTGTGTGTGTGTGTGTGTGTGTGTGTGTGAGAGAGAGAGAGAGAGAGAGAGAGAGTGAGAGAGAGAGAGAAAGAAAGAGAGAGATAGATAGATAGATATTGTGATGGGGTAGATTTAGATTACTTGGAGAGGAAAAGCTTCCCTGAGACTATGACTCATGAGCTGGAGACCTGAAGGAGTCCCAGTAGGACATGATGTGTAAAGATCCAGAGAAGGGAACAAACTTGGGGTGTCAGGGCAACAGGAGGAAGTACAGTGTATTAGTTTCCTATGGCTGCTGTAACAAATTACCACAAACTAGGTGGCTTACAGTAACAGAAAAATTTCTCTTATAGTTCTGGAGGCCAGAAGTTAGAAATCATGGTGTCAGCAGTGCTGTCTTCCTTCTGTAGGCTCTAGGAGAGAATCCACGCCTCTTCCAGCTTCTGGTGGTTATGGGCAGTCCTTGGCTTGTGGCTGCCTCTCTTTCTGCTGTCTTCACAGGCCTTCTCTGTGTTTGTGTTAATACCCTTTGCCTCTCATAAGGACACTTGTGATGACATTTAGAGTCCACTGTGATAATCTGGGGTAATCTCCTCATTTCAGAATTCTTTTTTTTTGTTTTTTTTTTTTAATTTTTGGCTGCGTTGGGTCTTCGTTGCTGCGTGTGGGCTTTCTGTAGTTGCAGCGAGCGGGGGCTACTCTTCAGTTGCAGTGTGCGGGCTTCTCATTCCAGTGGCTTCTCTTGTTGCAGAGTAAGGGCTCTAGGGCACGTGGGCTCAGTAGTTGTGGCACACGGGCTTAGTTGTTCCGAGGCATGTGGGATCTTCCCCGACCAGGGCACGAACCCGTGTCCCCTGCATTGGCAGGCAGATTCTTAACCACTGCACTGCCAGGAAAGTCCCAGAATTCTTAATTATATCTGCTCGATCTCTTTTTTCCAAATAAGATAACATTTACACCTTTCAGGAATTAGGGCAATATCATTGAGTGGCCATTATTCAATCTGCTATAGCTAGTATGGCTGAAGCACAATGAGATAAGACAAGATTGGTAGAAAATGAAATCCGAGAAGGAAAGAGAAGAGGAGGAGAGGGAGAGGACCCTGGAGATAGTGGTGGACGTAGAGCTGATAGGACTGGATGGGCTGGATATGGGGAATGAAAGAGAGAGTGATGCCAGGTTTTTAAATTTAAGCAACTAGATGGATGATGGTGCTCTTTACTGAAATGGGAAATATGTGGAAGATGAACAAATTTGGGAGGGGAAAAAATCAAGGATTCTGAATTTGCTGTGTTCATTTTGAGATACCTAAGAAAACATGTAAGAAAGAATGCCAGTCAGTAGATAATATGAATTTGTTGCTTAGGAGAGGGATCAGAGCTATAGATACAAATTTGGGAATTACCTATATATTAATGGGATTTAAAGCTGTGAGATTGGGAAAGTTGGATAGAGTAAAATAGACTGAGGGCTGTGCCGTGAACTGTTGGGCACTCCAACTTGAAAGGAACGTTAGAGGAGGAGCTGGCAAAGGAGATTGAGGGGGGAGTGGCCAGTGGGGCAAGAGGAAAACCAGGGGAGTGTGTGTTCCTTAAGCCAGAGAAGAATGTTGGAAAGAGGAAGGAGAGTCTGTTGTTTCAAATGCTGCTGAGAGTTCTGGTAGCATGAAACATAAAAGTAGTAATTTTATTACATAAAATCCTTATTATAAGCTTTTTCAGAGCAGAGGTGAGGATGGAGGCTAGACTAGAGTGGCTTGAAGGAAAAATGGAATATGAGAAAGTGGAGGCAGCAACTGTAGACAAGATGTTTTGCCTACAAAGGAGCAGAGAAGTGATACAATAGCTGGAAGGAAATATGAAGTTAATTTATTTTTAAGGTAATGAAAAAGGTTAAGGATTTTTTATGATGAAAGATGAATTCTGTTGAAAAAAATTTTTTTAAAATATTTGCCTTGGAATGTATTTGGGACATTAAATTCCACAGTCTGAAGATTGTCTAATAATAGTAATTTTTCGATTCTTTGGTGCCATAGTGTTTCATTACTTTTTTATCAGTTATATAATCCTGAAAGTGTTGTAACACTTATAAAACCAGCCCTTTTTTGGGCTCTGTTCATCCAGTAATACTTTGGCCACTAGAAAAGAGAAAGAAGTCTTCAGGGTTTCAGTTTAAACAGGGAAAACTGGATTACTTTTCTTGTTTTAATGTCTATGGTAATCATAAATTGGAACTTTTTACTGTAGCCCAAGACATTTCCAGGATTCTATTGTCTATTTTTAATAAGTCGGAAAAATAACTGGATGACTTTCGAGCTTTATAAAGGTAGTTTTTAAAGTCATTTAGTGTCTTTTGTGAAAGAAATTTTAGATAAAAGTATTACCTGAAGAGACCTACCTTGGTATGCTCCCTCCAGCTTTGGGTTTATTTAAAGGAATTTATTTGAAAAAATATTGTGATTCTTCTAATGCAGTCAATTAATTAAAGTATCATCTGTAAATTTTAGGTCACTTTTCGTTTTTAAATTATTGAATTCTGATTTTGATGTGCAAGAATTTCAGAGCTCTGTTCAAATGTTTTGCCTTAAGTAGAGGAAGCTTGTTTGAGAGGAAATAAAGATTTAATGATGATAAGGACATCCTAGGAGTTGGAGGTGAGAAAAATGTTACTCATGTTGTCATTAACCCAGGAATACCCTGAGAAATGTTGGAAGGCTCCAAAATTAACTTGACATTTAGCTATGAATTTTCTGAGTCCAACAGTCGTTACACCATTGCAAGCATAATGCATATGTATTAATAGCAAATAAATTTTGAGAGTGAAGTAGGGAAAATGGGACAGTCAATGTTTGGGAGCATTAAAGGCAATCTTGAACTATTTCTGTGACAAATTTGATTGAAATTAACCATGAATATTCTGACCTGTAGCTGGCATCCACCATTTCATTGGATTTTTAGTGCACCTGCGAGATACATCTGTAGATACACTTTCTAGTGCATAAGTGAGGTTTTCTTTACTTTAGAATTAATTCTTTTTTTTAATAATGTGAGTACATTAGTTTCACTTCATATAAAAACAATTGAAGTTTAAAAATAAATTTCTGTAGTGCTTTACTGTAGAAATTGTTATCTGCCACTCTCCTTCTGTGCTCTACTTTATTCTGTACAGATTAGATGAGTATACTGTAAAATACTGAACTCTGTAACCTTTATTGTGTATTGGCAGGTATTGACTTGTTCATGTATTACTTTGGTTATTGTAGTTATATAATAATAGTATTTGATTATACTTTTCAAGTAGGGTGGCTAAAGTTTTATTTGAAGTTGGGTGTCAGCAAACTCCATAAAGGGCCAGGTAGTAAATAAACATTTTAAACTTTGAAGGCCTTATGGTCTCTGTTGCGACTTTGCTATTGTAATGCAAAAGCAGCCATCGACATACCTAGATGAATTGAGGGTGGCTGTGTTCCAGTAAAACTTTATTTACAAAAACTGGTAGCCCACCAGATTTGTCTTGTGGCTGTAGTTTGCTGACCAGTGTTTTAAGTGATACATTAATACGCTATACGTACAATGTTAAAGTGGAGGTGTTTTAGAGTAATTAATAAAGGAACATGCAGTGACTCAGAAAATCTTACATTCTATAATTGTTTTGTTCTGAACAAAACCCAGTTGTTAAAATTTTGTAGTATTTGTGAGATAGATTACACATTTTTATTATTCAAAGTAGAAAACTTTTCTTTTTTCTTACAGGATAGGTATTCTTCTGGAGCAAATGGAGACACTTTTAACAGGACTCTGGCTTCATTGTCAGGTATGTGTTAAGGCAAAAATGTAAAACCGTTTTTAGGTTAAGGGCTTCATCCAGTGGATGAGGAGCTGACTAGTAGATGTCTTGTAGAGGATGTTTTCTAAATTTTCTAGTGAGGATTCATTCTGGCTTGAATATTTTGGGTTGGGGGCCACTTACAGCTAAAGGAAAGGAGAGAGGAGAGAGTGTAGTGCTATAGAGTGTATCCTTTGATTTAGTAGGTTTGCTGTAAAACCTTTGCCCAACCTGGAATTTGCATGTTTGGCTTTCAGGCTGCTTAGGGAATTGTCAGGGTTCCTGATATAAGGCAGTAGGAGATTGGACTCTGTAAGGTGTTGAAGCAGGTTGCAATGGTGGTGATGTGTCAGGATAACAACTGTTTAAACAAAACTCATATCTAGGTAATATGAGTTTCTTTGGGATCTGAAAACAAATTTAGGGAAGGTCCTAGGCAAATAAGAGAAACAAATTAAGTTAAGGGAGCTGTTGTTTTCTCCTACCACTTATTTCCATCTGGTTCGCCTACATATTTTATAAAGTTGATGTGGATGGGAAGATGGGTGGAAGTGGTAGGACCTGGGCTAGGAATTTAAACTTATGGCAGTAGTGTTTCATTTTGTTGAAGTCCAAAGCAGGCTGAAATGCTATTTCTACTATTTTTCTTCAGTTTTTCTTATTGTGGTAAAATACACGTAACACAAAATTAACTGTGTTAACCATTTTTAAGTGTACAGTTCAGTGACATTAAGGACATTCATATTGCTGTGCAGCCATCACCGCCATCTACCTCTGGAATTTTTTCATCTTCCCAAACTGAAACTTCATGCCCATTAAACAATAACTCACCAGTCCTTCGTCTCCTCAGCTCTTGGTAATCACTGTTTACTTTCTATGAATTTGAGTTACTATGAATTTACTGTGAGTCTCTATGAATTTGAGTAACTAATACTTTTAAGTCTTAACTCTGATGCAAGAGAGGGCCTGGTGACACCAGGTAGTTTCATTTCTCTCATCAAAAATTAGTGGATGAGGTAAAACATTTTATAGTCTAGGAAGCTACTGGCTCACTGAAGCCTGTCCCAAAGTGAAAAAACCTGTGGAGAGGTAGTTTCTAAAATGTGAAGGGGAGTTCGAGAATCAGAGTTCATTGGGTTAAAGCAAATTTAATTCCCATGTTCACCTTAATTTCACAGTAATTCTCTCTCTCTTTTTTTAGAGTAATTCTCTTGATAGAAGGAAGTTGAGTTTAGAAGAAATGCTTTTGCTATTACCAAGATGCATTTGTCTTTTGTAAACATTTAAATGCAGCGGTTTAATATAGAATATTCAGATTCTCAGAAGTTTATGAAATTGCTGCCTGCTGAAACCCCAGCAGAAGGCTAACCACATGCATGTGTGTGTACTTGAAGTATTCAAAAAAAAAAATTGGGTAAAAGTAATCTATACTTCTTAACACATCTATATGCATAGATCATTGTGATCAGGAGAAACCTTGTTCTGTGAGGTGTCAAAGATAATTTTTGCAAGGGAATGAAAGTTTGGGTATAGTATATTAAGGTATAACATGACTTTGTAGTGAAATCATCAGTAAACTAGATTGAAATAGCCACCAACTAAAACCCTGGACTTTTCTTAGCATTAGATCTTGAATGTTCAGGCTAATGATATAAAATCAAATAATGAAAAATATAGATTGCCTGCTCACCTTCTGGATAACAAATACTTTGGTAGCTCTTTTTTAAGTAAAATATTTTTTTCATGAAAATAGATTTCCTTATTACAGAAATACATACTAGGCCAATGATTGCTATACTAAGTTAATACCTACATACTCTTATTGCAAAAAAAAAAAAAAATAGTGGAAAAACTTAAATATAGTTGTGAAAAGAAAGAAAATGAAGTGAAATCTTGGCTCCCAGGTTTCGCCACGAGTGTCTGTTGCCAGTCTTTCAACTCTGATTTTTTAGATTTCTGCATGAATCAACCAACTATGGATGAAAAATACTTGGAAAAAAATTCCAGAAAGTTCCCAAAAGCAAAACTTGAATTTGCCCTCCACTGGCAACTATTTATATAGCATTTACATTGTATTTGTTATTATATGTAATCCAGAGATCATTTAAAGTATGTGGAGGATGTTAGGTTATATGCAAAGATGACACCATTTTATGAGGGACCTGTGCGCCCAGGGATTTTGGTATCCTTGGGGGTAGGGGGTGGGTGGAGGGGATTAGGTGGTGGGTCCTGGATCCAACCCCCCTCCGATACCAATATTTAGCTCCCCCCATTTCCCCTATATACTCCACTCACACTTCTTCCCTTCGCACTCTCCTAATAGTTACTACACTTTTTGCATAAAAACCTATACTCAGTTTTTATATCATGGCTGTGTATATATTATTCATACGTGAACCCTGTAGTATATTATGGTTGCATTTCCTTTATTATTCAACCTTCTGTTTTGTTGTTACTAGAGTTAATCATTACCTTGTTTACTTGATCTGTGTTTCTTTTGCTAATTTACTTCAAAACCCTCTGCCAGAAGCACAGCTATTTATTCATATCTATCTATGTTCATAGTTTTTAACACATCTTTCTAAGCATGGATATGCATCAGACTATATTCATGGTTAGTTTCTATCACATATACAGTGATCTGTCAGTTTCATTTTTTCCTGATTCCTCTATCCTCTCCAGGATAGACTTGCCTCTCTAGCCTCTCATCACAAGAATTACCCTTCACCTCTGTTAGTGTGTCACCTTTCTTTTCCCTGAATCTCATGTTTTTTCTATCTTGATTCCCCTGCCTCCCCACTTCAGTGGAGCCCATTTTCCTGCAGCTTCTTGGGAAAGGAAGCATGGGAAAGAAATTTGAGAGATTGCAAATATCTTTACTTTCATAATTGATTCATAAAAACAGAAGATTGATTCCTACTTTGAGTAACATTTTAGGTTGGAAATAATTTTCCCCCACAGCTTTATAATTGCTTCATTGTACGTGAAATACTAGTGATGCTGCTTAGTTTGATAATCTGAGTTCTGGTCCTTTGTATATGACTTTTTCTAAACTCTTCTAAAGCTTTTAGGATCTTACTTTGTCTTCTGTATTCTGAAAATTTTATGATTGTGTAACTTGATGTGGAACTTTTTATTTATTATACACTTAGTGTATATAGATACTTAGTGAGTGGGCCTTTTAAATCTGAAATTCATACCCTTATTTTCTTATTTTTTTCCCTGAGGATTATTATAATTTCATTTGAATGTTATTTCTGTTCCCTTTGCTGGTTCTTAGACTTCTTTTTCCCTGTGTTTGTTTTGTTTCATGTAGGTGACTTTCTTCAAAAGTCTGGTGATCCTTGCCTGCCTTTTTGTATTTAAGAGTGGAACATTAAAAACTCAACCCTGTGCCTGGACACAGCTTCTTGACTGATGGGTTCTACTCTTAAGTGATTGGGCCAGGGCTAGGCTGTTTTGTTGGGGAGAGCAGTTTTCTTAGAGAGGAATCATGTTGTGCTTTTCTAGAGGATTTAAGTTTTTAAGCTCTCATTTCTTGTTTCATCCTTCCCTCCTCTCTCTTTCCTTGTTGTATTGTACAGATCCTGTGCTGCCTTTGCTAATTTCTTTTTTACCCATTTTTGAATGATTTGAATTCTTCCTAGACTAGCTATTAGAAGTGTCAGGGAATTCTTATTCCTCTACTTCCCTGAAGCAGCCATTCTTTTTGTGTGTGTGTTTTAAAAGATACATTGTTACGTGTGCCTATTCTTTTGTGTGCTTGTAATTTTAACTTAGAAAAATGTTACTGTGCTGAAGATCTCATAATTTTTTCTTACCCCCCACCACTATGTTTATGACATATTCTTAATTGATAATTGATTGCATTATTTCTAACTACTGTATGGTATTTCATATACTTTATCACCAAGTTTTATCTCCTCCCTATCCCCATGATGGACACTGTAATTACCTCTTATTCCCCTCCAGCACCACAAGGATGAACATTCTTTTACATGTCCCTTTATGGGTCTAAGTGAGAATTTCTTTGGGTAATGGACTCAGGAGAGGAATTACAGGGTCATGGGGTGTATAAATACTTAATTTGATTAAATATTTAATAATTGCTTTCCAGAATAGCTATGTCAGTCTATACTCCCATAAGTAGGACCTGAGGGTTCTTATATTCCATTGACATTATTATTCAGTCTTGTGCTTTTAGCCAGCCTATTCGGTATATAGTAAAATCTCTGTTTTAAATTTGCTTATCTGATTATTTATTAGCTTAACTGTCCCTTCATATGCATGCATGTTATCTTTTTGGGTTTCCACTTCTGTAAGTTGCCTATCATATATTTAGTCCATTTTTCTATCAGGTTTGCTTTCTTCCTCTTGTTGATTGGCAGGCATTCTTTGTATGTTCCAGATTTTACACTTTTTTCTGATTTGGACATTGTGAATATCTTCCATTTATTATCTGTCAACTTTGTCCATGATATTCCTTACTGATCAAAAATTTTAATTCAAAGCCATTAAACTAAATTTTTTTTTTGCTTTCTGATTTGCTTTTGCACTTTTAGTTAAGATGCTTTTCCCTTTCTCTGTGTCAAAAAAGTAACCACCTAAGTTATCTTTAGAGTTTTACCTTTCACATTTAAATTTTATTCATCTGAATCTGTACTTTTTAAAAAAAATTCATGATGGCCATATTTATTTGGGTGCCAGATCAGGGCATAGTATATGTACTATGAGTGTACATACAGGGCTCACAAAAAAGAATCTTTGACATTAGGGTTTTTCTCGTCAACTTGGGCCATGGGTCTTCAGTGATAGTGGAGTTTTTTTTTTTTTTTAAATCTTGGTAACATAAATGTCACATAAAATTTACTGTCTTAGTCATTTTTTAAGGTAAAAAATGATTAAAAACTACTTTTTAGAGCAATTTTAGGGTCACAGCAAAATTAAAGGGAAGGTATAGAGTTCCCATAAACCCCCTGTCCTGACAC